TCAGGTCCGCAATATGGCCCCGCGCTGGAATGCCGGCATCCCCCAACAATCACTGCAGCTGCCAAACTGCCCGACGTCGACGGAGGACCCGAACTAGGACGGCTCCGTGGAACAGATCTGTCCATCCCCCGCACAAAACGAGCCCGAACCACCCACCCGGAGCCGTCCGTATGTGCAGGGCGCGCTATATGACAAGCATGACGGCTCGGCGCAGGTGATGCTGTGGGCGCCTCCTTCCCCGCTTTGCTTCCCGCTGACACGCCCTCCGACAGCGCGCGGATGCCCAAGAATACGGTTTGCATTTCTGCCGTCCGGGATTCCGTTCGGGCGTGCCATTTACGTCCTCGGGGCAATCACCGTAGACAGCTCGCTGGTGACATATAACGCCCCGCTGCGCCATGGCGTCCTATTTCCGCCTCTTCACGCACACGCTACCTTTCCCACTTTCTATCTGCAATGGAGACATGGTCTGAGGACCCGTCTACGAGCAATATCGCCATGACGGCGGCGGCGTCTAAGGAGGACTTGGACACCGAAAAACGCGTGTCTCTAACCTGCGTGTCTGCGCCACCTACCTACCCAGACGGCGGTCGTCAGGCTTGGTTAACCGTCGTGGGCGCCTTCTTCGCCCTGTTCTGCACCTTCGGCCAGCTGAACTCGTTCGGCACGTTTCAAACATGGTACGCAGACCATCAACTGCGCGACCGTCCTCCTTCGACGATCGCTTGGATCGGATCGTTACAACTGTGGATATTTTTCTTTTCTGTGAGTATCGCACCACGACTCGTGTGACCAAGCACCGCTGACGTTCATGACACCCGGAACAGGGTGGTTTTATTGGCCGCCTGTTCGATGCGTATGGGCCTCGAGTCGTCATGCTTCCGGGAACAGTGGTGCTAGCGTTTAGCACGATGATGATCAGCATCTCGTCAAGGTATTATCAATATGTGCTAGCTCAGGGAGTCCTATTTGGCCTAGGGGTGGGGATGCTGTAAGTTTCTCATTATTAGTTTTTCTCCGCCCATTCACACGTAACTTATGTCAGATTCTATCCGTCCCTGTCCGCAATATCAACACATTTCAACAAATATCGCGGCACTGCGCTCGGCATCGCTATGGCTGGCTCTGGTATAGGTTGGTCACATCCTCCTCGCCGGTGGCTCGCGTCGGTCTTCAACCCTGTCCTTCAGGCGGGGTCGTGTACCCTATTATGTTTCAGCAACTCTTTCAACGTTTGGGCTTTGGTTGGGCCGTCAGAATATCGGGCTTCATCTCGTTAGCCGCCTGTTGCATTGCCGTGACCACGATCACGAGTCTCCGCCCACCTACGCCGCAGAAGACGCCCATCCTGAATCCTGCCTGGCTCCGCGACGTCCCCTTCGTGCTTGTTACTGGCGGCAGCATCCTGATTTGCCTCGGTCAGTAGCGCCACCACCGTCACCTGCTTTCCGCGATCCCGCTTACGGAAGCTTTAGGACTGTTCATACCCTTTTTCTACATCGCGGACTACGCCCGTGATCACGGCATCTCCTCAAGCACTGTATTCTACATCCTTTCCGCAATGAATGGCGGAGGTATCTTGGGCCGCCTCGCGCCTCCCTTGCTCTCCGACGCTGTCGGGCGTTACAACGTAATGGTACCGTGCGCCTTCCTCATGGGCCTGCTCGCGCTGGTGTTCTGGACCTTTGCCAAGACACTGGTTGCGATCCTCCTCTTCGCTATCGTCTATGGCTTCTTCTCGGGCGCGTTCATCGCCATGCTCATCCCTTGCGTGGCCCAAATCTCGGATCTCAAAGAAATCGGATCAAGAATAGGAATGCTGTACAGCATCGTCTCGTTCGCGTGAGTCTCCAGCGTCCTGCGCTCCCGAACAACGAGCGCTCAATCCGTCCTTGGCTCCGTAGTGCCCTAGCAGGGGGGCCTGCGGCAGGGGCGCTGCTCAGGGCAGGAAACGGCTCGTACACGGGCATGATCGTGCTTTGTGGCGTCTCCAATATCGCTGGCTCGGGTTTCTTGTTGGGCGCGCGGTTCCGCCTAGACCGCCGGATCATGGTCAGGGTATGAACCGGAAGGCGCTGAACGCTATAGGACTCGTGTTCGCAACGCTGTATTATTATTGCACTCATGAACATAGACTCAGCACTTTCCTATAGAAGAGGGCTCGTGGCGGTCGTCCTCGAGACCTAGAAACACCGCCGCGCGTGTGCGAGAAGCGCGATGCCGCGTCCATGCCGACCGTTCTTCTTTACCGGCGGCTCCCTGGGAGTTTGCTGCCTCGGACCGCGGAGCTTTTTCGAAGAAAAATAGAGAGGTACGAACCGGGTCTGGCTCGTCCGTACTACGCCCACTGATTCGCGTGCTTGGTGGGACAGCCGAGTTCTCGACAGACATAAGTTTTTGCACTGCACTGCGGGACCGCGCCGAATAAGACACTCAGACGCCGTAAGCGAACGCGAAGTCACTAGCTTTACAAACCGTAATGAACGCCGGGCAGCCGCAGGCACGCATGCCTGTGGATATGGCATTGCAAACCATATGCGCCCTGCCCCGGCGAACCGGTTTCGCCGTCAGCCAAGGGAGGGTCTAGGTGAGGATCGTAGTCTCCCGAAACGTCTCGTAGTTCAATACGTTAACCGCTTTCTCGCAGCGGGTCTCACGCTGCACGAGCCTCGCCCGAAGAAGACATTCGCCATCACGCTCCCCGCTCCTTCCTGTGACCCCCGCGTCCCTCTCCCCGTGACGACGAGAGGCACCCTTACGTGTGGATGCTTCCGGGGCGTTAAGTCGCAGCTGGATGACTCTTGCTTCGCCTATATCATGGGACGGGTGATGCGCCGTCAAGGCTCGCCAGGTTCCCCTTCTCCTCGCCCACCTTTTTCTCCGCTTACCCCCACCGTTCATCACTACCGCGATGTCCAAAAGCCCAGAGCTTGCCTCGATGGAGACCGCGACAGTGTCGACATGGGTCAATTCCTCTTCGGGCACCCCTGAGCCGAAGTCCCCTCTGGACAGCCGCTCTACGACCCCACCGCCCGCTCCAGATAACGGAGGATACCCGGATGGTGGGCTGAAGGCCTGGCTGACGGTGTTTGGTGCCGTCCTGGCGCTCTTTTGTTGTGGGCAGCTCACCGCGTTCGGGGTCTTCGAGACGTGGTACGCGCAAAATCAGCTCAACAGCCTACCCGCGTCGACGATTGCTTGGATCGGATCGCTGCAGCTGTGGGTGCTGTACTTCTCGGTAAGCCACACATCACGCAGCGTACCGCACCCGGCATCGTCACTTCACTTACCGATATCCTCTGAAGGGAAGCTTTTTGGGTCGCATCTTCGATGCGTTTGGGCCGCGCGTAATCTTGATCCCCGGGTCCGCGCTGCTGGTATTCGCGACGATGATGACAAGCGTGTGCAAGGAGTATTATCAGTTTCTGCTCGTGCAGGGTCTCCTCACGGGCCTTTCATACGGCATGCTGTCAGTCACATCACTCTGCGTTGACGGGATCGAGGTTCTGAATTCCCGCAATAGGTTCTACCCATCCTTCGCCGCCATTTCCACCCACTTCCGGCGATATAGAGCGACCGCGGTCGGTATCGCCATCGCAGGATCCGGTGCTGGTGTGTTTATTATTCACCTCCTGGGGCGCCCTTTAGCTAATAATGCGTGTGAAGGGGGCGTTGTTTTCCCAATCATGCTCCGACACCTCTTTGCGAAAATAGGGTTCGGATGGGCGGTACGAATCGTCGGGTTTATGTGCCTTGTCCTGTGCTCGATCTCGTGCGCGACAATCACCAGCCGCATTCCGCCAGGGAGGAAGAACACGAGCATCATCCCAAGCACTGCAGTCGTCCGAGATGCCCCCTTTGTCCTGCTCGTCATGGGCTGTTTCCTAGTCAACTTCGGTGCGCGATGCCGTTCCCTCGCTTTAGCTCAAGCTATAAGCACGCGATCTCTGACAGAACCCCCATCTCGGCAGGTCTATTCATCCCGTTCGTCTACCTGGCCAACTACTCGATCTACCGGGGAATCTCCTCCGCGACGTCCTTCTACATCATCTCCGCGATGAACGGCGGGAGCATCTTCGGGCGCGTCGCGCCGGCCTACCTCGCGGACGTCGTCGGACGCTTCAACATCGCCGCCCCGAGCGCGTTCCTCATGGGCCTCTTCGCGCTCGTGTTCTGGATGTTCGCCCGCTCGCTCGTCGCGATCGTGCTCTTCGCGGTCGTGTACGGGTGTTTCGCCGGGGCGTTCCTGGCCATGCAGATCCCGTGCGTGGCGCAGATCTCGAACATCGAAGAAGTCGGGACGCGGATCGGCATCCTCTACAGCGTGGCGTCGTTTGGGTAAGCAATTGACGGACAGCTCGATGGAGGCGGCATTCTTCCGGGGGTACTTACGCTGAGCTTGCAGGGTTCTTGCCGGCGGCCCGGCCGCGGGGGCTACGCTAAAGATCAGTCAAGGGAGCTATACTGGCATGATGATTCTCTGTGCCGTGCTCAACATTTTGGGATCCCTCCTTCTTCTCGCAGCGAAGTGTCGAGTTAATCCGCGCATCTTTGGCAGGGTTTGAAACGGAGTGGGACGGCTGACGAACGACATGATCATGACAGTATACGTGATATTGGGTGAAAATCTATAGAGTGCGTAGCGGTTACGTTCTTTCCGGGTTTACGAAGGTTGTACACGCGTAGAACTACTTCCGGTCGCCATGCAGAACGGCAGCTGTATGCTACTCGAATAATATAGCTAGATGCCAACTATTAGGTGCATTTCCGATGGTCATGGGTCGCCCTGGCCACCTTACTAAAGCTTCGAGTTTTCTGGCGATCACCCCTGTCCAGATTTTTTTACGCCCAATCTAGTTCAAGCACTCGCTAACCTTGCTCCAACTTCCCAGTAGGTACAATCAAGAAGGCTACCAGGAATTACAATATGGAGCCTCTGCGCACCTACACAGGAAAGGTGATTGCAAAAACATTGGGTACAACTTGGAACATACGTGTATCGACACCGGCAGGATTCGAACCTGCGCTCCCGAAGGGAAACAGATATCTGCGCAATTCGAATCTGTCGCCGTAACCACTTGGCTACGATGTCGGGCGAGCCGTGACGACCACAGCTGCAGTTGATCAGTAAGCACTCTTGACCTACCGCGACGCAACCCAGAAACACTGCAAGAGGCGCTTGGCGTGATTTACCGAGCTCGCATGCCGCCGTCCGGACTCGTTGAAAGAGGTTTGCCGTCTTGCTGCTGGCTATCATGCGTCTCCAACAATAGGCCCACTTTCGACACCATCCTCTTCGGTTGCGAGCGTTCTGTGCAGGATCTTTGTGGGCTAGAACGAGCAGTCTAGGGCGATCGCGTTGAACATACTGACGCGCCGGGGCATGGGGATCGCGCCGGTCGAGACGAGCCGGGAATTGGGCCGGACGGTGGCTGCACCCGCAGGTATAAATTATTCCAATACTCCTCACGCCCTCCCGACGTACACATTCACAGCCAACGACCACGATGACCATCCAGCCAGACGTCCCTATGCGCCAGCGCGTCGAAGAGTACATCTCCAACCTCCAGGATGAAATCGTCTCCGCACTCGAGAAGCTCGACCCCAACGCGCCCCCCTTCAAGCGCGACTCCTGGCTCCGTGCCCAGGGCGGCCGCGGTCAGTCCTGCGTATTCGCCGTTCCCGCCCCTCCGCCCGGTGTCGCGCCTCAGGAGACCGTCCTCGAGAAAGGCGGCGTGAACATCTCCGTCGTGCACGGCATGCTCCCACCGCCCGCGATCAAGCAAATGCGCGCGGACCACTCCTCCATCCCCGACATCCAGTCCAGCGTACCCTTCTTCGCCGCCGGAATCAGCCTCGTCATCCATCCGCGCAACCCGCACGCGCCCACCGTCCACGCAAACTATCGCTACTTTGAGATCACCCAGCCCGCGACGGAGGAGGAGCAGGCGGCAGGAAAGCCGGGCAAGCTCATCGCGTGGTGGTTCGGCGGCGGGTGCGATCTCACTCCCTCCTATCTCTACGAGGAAGACGCGCAGCACTTCCACCGCACCATCAAGGACGCGTGCGACCCGCACGGCGCGGCCGTCTACCCCGCGTTCAAAAAGTGGTGCGACGAGTATTTCTTCATCCCCCACCGCGGCGAGGCTCGCGGGATCGGCGGCATCTTCTTCGACGACCTCTCCGACGAGCCGCACAAGCGCTTCGCGGCGGACGGCTCGGATGCGCGCCCGAAGACGCCCGAGGAGATCTTTGCGTTCGTCAAGGCCGCAGGCGACGCGTTCGTGCCGTCGTACGTCCCCATCCTTGAGCGGCGCATTCGCACACCGAGCACCGAGCACGAGCGCCGGTGGCAGCTCCTGCGACGTGGCCGCTACGTGGAGTTCAACCTGATCTACGACCGTGGGACGAAGTTCGGGCTGATGACCCCCGGCGCGCGGATAGAGAGCATCCTCATGAGTCTGCCCGAGACGGCGCGGTGGGAATACATGAGCGAGCTGGGAACGGACCCGGAGTCACGAGAGGGGAAGCTCATCGAGGTGCTCAAGACCCCGCGCGAGTGGGTATGAGGTCTGGTGCAGGGGAAGAAGTATAATGTGAGTGTGGCGCGCGCGTGTATGGGCATGCTATGACTAACCTTGTCCAGTATTGTGTAGAGTATAATACGCTGGACAAACGCAATCTACCCCGCTCTTTCTGGTGCATGGATGCCGTATGCTCAATTGTGGTAAACCTTGTGTGTTTATGTAGGTCCACTAACTCATTGTGAGGTGGAAACACACTTGCATCAAGAACCTTTCAAGGTTCACGACAGCCCACTAGGCGGGGACAATAATACGAGATGGGTTTCTCTGCACTCATTTGTCTTCGTCGTCTCTGAAAGCCAAAGGTCAGAACCGAAACCAGCGCGCATCCACGACGACCCCCGGCAGTATATAGCACACGTTCTTAGCCCTCGCATTACGCATAACCGGCACACATTTCGACACCTATCGCCAAGTACGAACCGGACTTCCTTCGTGCCTCGCACAACCTCACCAAGAGTCTCACTGGATCCCGACATGATCGCCAATTCGACGAGCCGGCGGCACCACGATGACCGCCCAGCACTCTCCGACTCCGAGGCGTGGGCCCTCGTTCAAAACAAACACGGCAGAATCACCGTGCAACGGCGGGCAGATGGCAGGCCACTCGTCAGCACAGCCTTCCATTTCGCGAAGGCCCTCTTCGGTGGCGGCGCGTTCGCGCACCTGACGCGCCTCAGCCTGCTGCTCGACACCCTGCAGGACGACGAGGCGCACGGACACTCGCGCTACGACCCGCTCAACGACGACTCCTCACTATGCGCGGACGAGACGTTCCCGAACACAGCTACTGAGCGCGAAATCGTGCAGCTCGCAACGCAACTCAAGGGCAGGCTTGTCGAGCTGCGGGTCACGCTGTGCAAGCCCGAGCTCGTCGTGCCGCACATCCCGCTGCTCGTGTATGACCTCGCAGACAGCTGCCCGAGCCTGCGAGTCCTCGGCGTGCGCGACGTCCAGTGCGAGCGGTTTGTTGCACCCGGGGTGAGTGCTCGACCTCCTTGTTTTTATTTGTATCAGGCTGTCCCTCTCACCCGCTATGCGTAGAATTGCACAGACGACCACGTCAGGTACTTCGGGGCGATCGCGTATAACGAGCACCGCGAGGTGGCCTCGCGCACACGCAGCCCAGGCTCACGCCTGCGTTCGCTCACGATCGGCCGACGGCAAATGTTCCCCCACGAACACCTGTGCTGCAGCTTCGTCTCCCAATGGCTTCCTCGCTTGGTACGCCGCCCTGAGCTCTCACGCCTTTCACGCACAGACCCTTAACCCGAACGTACGCCCAGGAAGGGGAGTTGAACGCCGTGGATCACGACCAGTACTGGGCGGACCCAACGTCGCACGCGCGCCTCCTCGCGACCAAGCGAGACATCGAGTCGGACCACCTCACGGAGCTGATGATACAGGAGTTCCCGTCGTTGCTCGAAGCGTCTCCAAGCGTCTCCTCCGAAAGCCAAGCAATCCCACACGCTTTGTATAATACGCTGCGCTTCGACGATCGTGTAGATCGACGCGGCACAGCGGCCAGCTGAGATGTGTGACGCGCCGAGTGGCGTTTTGTTTCCGGAGCGTGCGGTGGGGCGTACATGGGATGAGCAGGAGCGAGCCCGGGGCAGGGAACCTTTGCAGAATGAGCCGGGTGCGCTCGCCTTTGCGTAGTGCGCGGCGTAGCATGGTGATATCGAGGGGCGTAGTAGTATAGTGTCATAAAAATATGGAGTTCATGGTTTTGCTATCGCCCACTTTCATTAGGGCGTCCCAACCCGCGTTCTTCACTGTAACGACTTCACGAGCAGGGAAGGATTCTGGTGCCTAGGCGCTCTGGGAGGCGTCCAACGACAAGAACAACTACAACTGCAGGGTGCAGTGCTAGTAGGTTGTCGTGCACTGGATACATCATATCATCACAATATGTATATTTTACTATGTCTAATCCCGCCGAAATCGTTAGGTGTGGACAGCCTCGGCGCTGCGATGAAATTGTCTCATCATGTTCACCAAGGATCACCTAGTCGAAGAGACGAGTCACCCAGCGGTGCGCGAGAAGTGTCTTCTCAGACCAACAAGGGGGCATGCGCGTGCTCAGTGTGCGCAGATGCATACGCGTACTGCCTACTTTGGAAGCGCGAGTCTGACTAGAGCGCGAGGCCCATGAGGCTGACCTTCTATTCTTCGACCATCATGGCAACTTCGAGCCCTAGGTGCAGGCGGCACGCTAGTAGGACGATGGCCGGCCCATGCGCCCAATTAGATCGGAATATCATCGATCTCCCATGCGAATGCGGTACGTCCTCGGCATTTCTAGCTACAAGACATATAAGGGGTCGCGTTGGGCACGGTGGCGTCAGCCCCTCGCCCCCACTCACTCAGCTCTGTGAATTGTCACGTACCTGCGCACTCCCATACAGCTCACCATGAAGACTATACTTGGTGAGTACCTTCGGTACTTCTCATGTAGTGACTATTTCTTAGACGCGACTCAGGGGAAGGACGTCAGTGCGAATCGCCCGTTGGCAGCGAAAGCGACGCCGAGATGACTTCCCGCCTGCTGGCGGTGATGGCGCGTCGATTGAAGAAACAGAGGAACTACTCTCTCCCATACGAATCGAGCGACGACGACGAGCTTGACGACACGTTGTCGTCCGACTCGGGGGAGGACGCGGTCTCTATGGGAGGAGATTCCGATTTTGAAGATAGAGACATTTGGATGGACGCACCTTCCGGGGTCCAAGGCTTTTCTTCCCACTTCCATCCAGGCGGCGGTCCTGCGAGGGTAGATTCCGCCTGTTCCACGCGTGAAGCTTCTGCGAATCTCGATGACGACCCAAATAACCTGTGCCCTCCGCTGGTTGCTGATACATCCCTCGACACATCCGTGCCGGACACAGAAGACGGCCAAACGCAGGAATCTTCCGGTCATGACCACCCGTCGCCACATACCCCTGAGATCGACACGCCATTCACATATCCAACTGCGACATACGCCTACTGCAGAGACGGCTCTCAGCGTCTGCGTGTGAACGACCCGCTGAGCTTCGGGATCGAGGACCGTCCATGGGAATGGGAGATATCGCCGGAGAGCTCGCGCGCCCCCTCCCCGGTACGTGAGGAGTTCTGATACCTCTTCCACAGGCATGTACACGTCGGACTCGCACCATCATCGCACGACACAGGTGGGGATCCTAGGTAGATATGTAGCATATCAGAATATGTTGATACAAAGCGTCGACGACGGATATAAAATATCAGAGTTTCGACATGGTCCCCATGCGCACGATGCTCCCGCCGTCGAGCTGAATGGTCGCGCCATTGACCCACGCCCCGGCGCGGCTCGCCAGAAATATGCACGCGCCGGCGACGTCCTCTGGGGCACCGATGCGTCCGAGAGGAATGCTCGCTTTGATGAAGTCGCCAAATTCACGGAGCGTCTGCGCCATCACTAGCGTGGCATACGTGAGGATTCTCGAAGTACTGTTAAGGCGGGGACGCACTCACTCTTGCTTTCAAA